GGGGTGGGGTGCAGCACCCTTGGGTGCCGGGTCTCACCCGGAGGCAGGCGCCGCGGTGCAGGTAAGTGCCGGGGGGGCAGTGACAGCCCTCGGGGCAGCCCCCCCAGACGCAGCCCACCCGCCCGGCCACGTGGGCGCAGCTGTAGGGGCACCCCTCGTCCCGCTGGCACTCGCGGTACAGCCGCCCCGCCGGGCACCCCGCCTCTGCGCCAACACCCCCCGCACCCCAATCAGCACCCGGGGCTGTGGGGCAGCCTATGGGGCAGGGCTGCCCCACAGCCAGCCTCTGGGGCAGCCCCGGGGCGGAGGTAGAGGGCAGGGCTGCCCCATAGCAGAGGTGTGGGGAAGGGGCTGTGGGGAAGGGGTATGGGGCAGGACTAAGGGATAGGCCTATAGGGCAGGGCTATGGGGCAGGACTAAGGGATAAGGCTATAGAGCAAGGATGTGGGGCAGGGCTATGGGGCAGGACTAAGGGATAGGGCTATGGGGCAGGGCTAAGGAATAGGGCTATGGGGCAGGGCTATGGGGCAGGGCAGTGGGTCAGGGCAATGAAGTGGGGCAATAGGGCAGGACTAAGAGATAGGGCTATGGGGTAGGGCAGGACCAAGGGATAGGGCTATATAGGGCAGGGCAGTGGGGCTGGTTATGGGACAGGGCTGGGGGACAGGGCAATGGGACAGGGCTAAGGAATAGGGCTGTGGGGCAGGGCTGTGGGGCTGGGCTATGGGGCAGGACTGAGGGACAGGGATATAGGACAGGGCTAAGGAATAGGGCTATAGGGCTATAGGGCTATGGGGCAGCGCTATGGGGCAGGGCCGGGACTCACCCCGGCACACCTGGGTGTTGCACATCTGGCTCTGCAGGGCCAGCCCCGGGCACGGGGGGTGGTGGCACCGCCGCCGGCGCAGCCGCTCGCCCCCACCGCAGGACACGCCGCAGGGCCCCCACGGCGACCACGCGCCCCACGGCTCCTCTGCGGGCACGGGAGGGCACCGTGGGGCAGCACGGAGCCGGGGCAGGGGGGGCCTCGGCCTCGCCGGGGGCTTTAGCCGGGGCTGCACCGGTGCCAACACCACCCCAAACCCAGAACCCCCGGGAAACTGCCCCGAGGGGGGGGTCTGCTGTGCCCACTGTGTCACCCCACAGCATGGCACCCACCCTGGGGGCACCCGCTCCATGGACACCCAGCCCCAAGGACACCCACCCCCGGAGACACCCACCTTGAAGACACCCAGCTCCAAGGAGAGCCATCATAGGGACACCCACCCCAGGGACACCCACCTTGAGGGCACCCCACTCCATGGACACCCAACCCCAAGGACACCCACCCCAGCGGACGCCCACCTTGAGGACACCCAACTCCAAGGAGAGCCATCATGGGGGCACCCACCTCAGGGACACCCACCCTGGAGGGACCCAACCCCATGTAGAGCCATCACGGGGACACCCAACTTGAGGGCACCCACCTTGAGGGCATCCACTCCATGGACACCCAGCCCCAAGGACACCCACCCGGGGAACACTCACCTTGAGGACGCCCAACCCCAAGAAGAGCCATCATGGGGACACCAACCCCAAGGGACACCCACCTTGAGGGCACCCACTCCGTGGACACCCAGCCCCAAGGACACCCACCCCAGGGGACACCCGCTTTGAAGACACCCAACCCAAGGAGAGCCATCATGGGGGCACCCAACCCTGAGGACAGCCACCTTGAGGACATCCAACCCCAAGGAGAGCCATCATGGGGGACCCACCTCAGGGACACCCACCCTGGAGGGACCCAACCCCATGTAGAGCCATCATGGGGACACCCACCTCCGGGGACACCCACCTAGGGCAGGGCTATGGGGCAGGACTAAGGGATAAGGCTATAGAGTAGGGCTATAGGGCAGGGCTATGGGGCAGGACTAAGGGATAGGGCTATAGGGCAGGGCTATGGGGCAGAGCAGTGGGGCCAGGGCAATGAAGTGGGGTAATAGGGCAGGACTAAGAGATAGGGCTATGGGGCATGGCTATTGAGTGGGGCAGTGGGGCAGGACTCAGGGATAGGGTTATAGGGCAGGGCTATGGGGCAGGGGGCACCCACCTCAGGGACACCCACCCTGGAGGGACCCAACCCCATGTAGAGCCATCACGGGGACACCCAACTTGAGGGCACCCACCTTGAGGGCATCCACTCCATGGACACCCAGCCCCAAGGACACCCACCCGGGGAACACTCACCTTGAGGACGCCCAACCCCAAGAAGAGCCATCATGGGGACACCAACCCCAAGGGACACCCACCTTGAGGGCACCCACTCCGTGGACACCCAGCCCCAAGGACACCCACCCCAGGGGACACCCGCTTTGAAGACACCCAACCCAAGGAGAGCCATCATGGGGGCACCCAACCCTGAGGACAGCCACCTTGAGGACATCCAACCCCAAGGAGAGCCATCATGGGGGACCCACCTCAGGGACACCCACCCTGGAGGGACCCAACCCCATGTAGAGCCATCACGGGGACACCCAACTTGAGGGCACCCACCTTGAGGGCATCCACTCCATGGACACCCAGCCCCAAGGACACCCACCCCCGGAGACACCCACCTTGAAGACACCCAGCTCCAAGGAGAGCCATCATAGGGACACCCACCCCAGGGACACCCACCTTGAGGGCACCCCACTCCATGGACACCCAACCCCAAGGACACCCACCCAGGGGACACCCACCCCCAAGGACAGCCATCATGGGGACACCCAACCCCAAGGAGACCCATCATAGAGACGCCCACCCCGGCAGCACCCACCCTGGGGGCACCCACACACGAGTGATGGACCTCTCATGGGCACCCCAGGACCCCCCACCCAACCCCAGCCCCACCACGGCCGGTACCTGGGCAGGGTTCGGTGCCACACACCATCACCCCGGCGGTGCAGGTGCTGCAAGAGATGGGGGGGCAGGTCAGTGTGGGTGGTGGGACCCTGGTGGGGACCCCCGGGTGGCACCGGGGTGACCTCAGCCCCACCAGTTGTTGCAGGCGTCGATGGCGGTGGTGTCCCCGGGCTGGTAGAGGTGGCCCCGG